TATTCAACTTGTCAAAAACAATTCAATAACATAATAATTATAATCTCAATTTAATCCACAGATGCCTTCCATCCGAATTGCTGGAAGATAATAGCGTTGCACATGATTATGAGAATGCAAACAGATTTGAGGTGTTATCATTTTCATTGAATGATCTGCACATTCCTCAAGACATCGCAGTCTGAATTCTATCTGGTTGAGCAAGCTGTTCGGATCCCCAGCTGTGACCCATTGGCGATGCTCTTGCAAGAAGCTCTTCACTTCTGACTTGAAGGCACCCAATATATGTTCAATCTGATTCAACATAGGGCTCTCAAACACCGTTCATCCACTGTAAACACTCTTCTCTTTTGCAATTAAAAACATTTCAAACATAAAAGGATTTCATCTTCTGAAATTGAACCTACCAATAATAATTCTGAAATACAACTTACCATTTCTGAAATTGAATGGACTTTTTCTGAAATTCATCTCACCGATTCTGAAATTGAGTTTACCATTTCTGAAATCGAACTTACCAATTCTGAAATCGAGATTACTTTTTTCGAAATATAACTCACCGACTCCGAAATTGAAGTTGAAAAGGTATAGAAATGGGGTAAACTATTGTCTAGCCCAGCATTTGTTTTTTTTAAGGTGATGGAGATAGGCACAGGCTGCGTTAGTGGAATCTCTGGGAAAATGGAGACATATAATTATCCTTTCACTGAATATTCAACTGCATAGTGGAATAAGGTAGTTTAACGGTTTCCATCTGGATAGCTTCTGTAGGTGGTCCATTGGAATTAATTCGGTAGCAATTGAAACTCCTGAATATTATGTAGACTACAACAGGAATGACAGAAATATGCATTGTCAAAGTCCAAACACATGGGAAAAAAGATATTTCATTTTCGTCAAAATTCATTCCTAGTTTGTTTCTTATTAGCTGTTTCATGATGTATTATAGTTCGTCAAAGTTGAGGTAATTTACGTGAAGGCTGTAGTTGGTATGAAATGGTAGAATGTCGTTCTTCTTTATTCTAGTTAGGTATTCGTATTGTTTGGTTTCTGCAGATTAGTTGTTCTCTTTAGGAAACTTTTGAGTGATTGGTTGTTTTCGAACATCCTATCGAAATGGTGATTAGATATGCGCCAGAAACTTTGTATATTTCGTCTTGTTCTTGACCTTTCATGATCATTTTGTTCTTATGGACAACAATATATGTCGATCCACATGGTTGGGTCCTTCAGTTGATTAACCTTCAGCATCTTGATTTCTGTGATGATTTGTAGTCCAGTGGTTTTATTTTTCGTGAAAAGCAGCTGTACTGCACAGGAGCTTCCATTGGTGACTTCTAAAAGGTATGTCTGCTATCGTACATTCGTGGTTTCACTTTGACATAGTTTTTTGAATAGAGGGCGAAATAATAAGTAGTTATTTTTTTGTGATATTTTCTTCAACTGATTTTGACTAGGATCAGGAAGTGGGCATAGGTGATAATATTCGACAATATATTGATACATAATTCGGATTTTGAGTAGGTGAAAGATTCTTTCATCAAGAATGTAACATTCAATGTGGATAATATTTTTATATTTCGAGGTGTTTCCTTATGTCAATTCTAATGGTAAAAGATCTGTTTCGTTTATTTGTTGTTTTTCTTCGATTTGAATGGAAAATTCAGATAATATCAATATGCTTGAGTGTGATACATTCAATTTTGCTAAGGAAAGCAAGTTTCCGATATCCGCCAACAATGAGGCTATCACTTCGTACATGTCTAACAGCTCATTCATGGAATCTTTGATATGAATAAACTGTTTTACTACTGAGGTTTTTTCCATAACTGTTATCAGATGAGAAATTTCACATTGCAGTGATTTTCCGTTATCAATTATTGTCTTAGTTGTCACGTAGAATGTTCCAATGATATCAATGGATGAAGAATTCGATGTCGCGAAACTCATGCATCACCGCGATGATAACTCCGTTATCCAAGGGGAACTTTTGATTCGTTCGGTTTCCGGTTTCAGAAATTTTTTGATAGCTATTTCACTATGTGAATCAGATTCAACGCCTCCTGGGCTCATTGCGTGGCCTAGGTGGGCCAGCTTTCTGAGTAAAAACTCAGATCTGTCGAGGTGAAATCTTCCATTTGTTGAAAGACGCATTCAAGCCTTTCGATTTGCTAGTGGAGTTGGGTGAGAAGAATGATGATGCCATCTGAATAGACCGACACTTCTCATTCTGAATACCTCGTAAAATAGTATCTATGATTTTGTGAAACGTTTCTGGCCATTTATTCATCCACATGCCAAACGCAAATATCCGAAGTTACCATTTTATGTGTCGAATAATGTCTTAGGCATATAATTTTTACTAATCTCGATTTGGTGGAAACAACATGCGAGATATTTAGTAGTGAAATACTGACACCTATCTTTCTTATCTAACATATCAGTGATATGAGAGATGAAGAAAAAGTGGAAAAAACAGAATAGTGCTAAGTAGAAAAAACATATTCCCTAGTGGCTGCACGCACGCGAACTCAATTGATTGATCACAACACCTTATTGACACTATACCACCACCATTTCTTCAAATCTCTGAATCAAAATTTAACACCAGTCACAAAAGCCGAATCTCGCTTTGCCTCCATTCTGTTTCTTGGTAAGGTTTCATATGATAACAGAAACATCTTTCAACGTTTTGGTGTAGACATCACCATCTCATACCATACCATGGACTCCATCGCAACACCAAAGACAAAATTCCCCCTCTTCACAAATCAGGTATTTATGAAGTCTCTTTCTCTGATTCTGATGCTCAATACAAAGATCAGAGTGGTAGACGGATCCATACCAGAGTACTTCGAACATGTGAAAATCAGTGAACCTCCATATTGATGAATATAACACAAAAAGTTCATTTGAAAATCATATCCTCAACCACCAACATTGATATCAATAACGACCTGAAAATTTCACATATTTGCCAAAAAGGTGCTCTTCTCTACCTTTTTGAAATTTTCGAAATGAACGCATCCTCAAACGACTCTAATGTTATCTTACTCAATAAACAAACTCAGTTTGAATGCCAAAAATTCTTTAATTCTCTGGTTTTTCATTAATCAACTTATAGCAATAAAATTTGCATCTTTCAGTTTTGAAATTTTTCCTGCTTTTGTCCCTACTATTCTTTGCGTCTGTTTGTTTGTGTTACTGAACTTGCTAAGGTTAATTTTGTTTCCATGTTTGTCTCTGTTCATGACATGATGTAAACAGAGAAAGTCATAGAGAAGAATCAAGTTTGGAAAGTGGAGGAAACACAAACGAACAGGCCTTTTATGTTCATTCAAATTCATGTACCTAGGTATCTACTCATTGGTTTAGGTCGAGTGACGCTTCTGGTCGTCCACTTGTCTTTATCTACAGACAGTTGACATTGTCACTGTCCTATGTGTCTTTTCATCACAGATCTCACGATTCGCGTTTTGTGGATTGCCAAAAAACGCCACTTGTCCTCTATCATCTGATGATGAAGGTTTGTTTTGAGTAATTATTTGACTGCACCGTTTTTCGGTTTCTCCAAGAATGGGTTTTGCTTAAAATCGCGATAATATACATCCTCATAGGCGCGCAGGGCTCCTTTGAAATACATATGGGGTTGAGCACAAAAACATACGCTGATGATCACATTCAGAGGAGAGCCATTCGCCTGACACTCTTTGACATCATTGGAACACCGTAGAAAGGTCGGCTTTCACTTTTCTATCGATACTTCCACGGAAAATGATCGTCGGAAATCTCTGCTATCATTTCTTCACTAGTAATACCAGTCAGACGAACTAGACAAGCCCAGTCAGCACATCCTAACGTTGTCAACCTCGAAAGATGTCGAACAGCACTTCATCAAAACTCGTTTATTCATAGAACGGCTAGGCTCTGGAATTCATTGCCTGAGAACGTATTCCCAACAACATATCATCTCTAGAAGTTCAAAACAAATCTAATACCTACCTCCTATCTCTATCCTCCCTTGGAACGCACGATGTTCTTTGAACATTATAGGGATTCCCTTTCGTGCGATAAAAAAAATTATTTCTTTCATAGTGTGTGTTTTTTCATTCCCACGTGAGTAAATTCTCTATTCCATACATTTTTCAGGATTAACTTGTTTATCATAGGACCTTTGGTTTGTGAGGATTGAGGCTGATGATGGACACATGACTGTCCGAAACATGTTCTCCTTAATGATCTCAGGATTATCAAACGTTGTGGAGATGATTTTGTGTTATTTTACCCTCTCACCACAAGATATTTTGTGTTTTGTGTAATATACAGAAGTTTGCCTACTTTCTGGATCTCCACTTTATTACACATTATTTATAATTTATTTTGATGCAATTATTCATGGCTATTTCTCTTAACTCTGCACATTCTGTCGATCTGCATGTACTGCATAACTTCTGCTAGTATACCTGCATACCTGATATATCTGAAGAACAGTTTTTCTGAAAGTATCTTCTAAGAATTGATAGGTCGCCGACTTTCTCGCAGTATTTCAATGATGTAGAGACGTGGTCGAGACCCTATCAAAAATAAATGAAGATAATTATTTTTTTATCCTGAGTTATATTTCAATTCGTCTTATATAAAGTAATTTTCCTGTGAAAGTCACAGTAATACAACTTCGTTTATAATTATTTGTTGTGTTACTTCAATGAATGACTATATAGGGTGGATTGCGATTATATATCGTATTGAATTATGAAATGTTATCAGAAGGACATTTTTATAATATTCAGTCCGATGATCTTTGGACTGAAGAACATGATTGTGAAATAAATATTATCCTTTATTTTCAATTGATCAATTCATCAAATCAAAAATCATTGAGAATTCCATATCTGAAAATTGGAAAAAGATTCGCCTTAGGAACTGTCATTATCAATCTCCCAATCAAGATTGCTCGAGAATTGGATTGATTTACTGACTTGAATTTTTATTTCTTTCAGGCTTGAGAGGAATACAACAATTGAGTGGTGCCCCTGTCATAATTTTCTACTGTGAAACCATATTTCAAGAATCAGGAGGAGCTATATCGTCTGAAGTAGCAGCCATGATATATTTCTCTGTTCAACTCCTGTCTGCTGCAATTTCATCATATATTGTTGATACAACAGGAAGGCGGCCACTTCTGATACTATCAACATTTGGAGCCTCACTGGCTCTATTCGTCCTAGCATCATATTTTTACATGAAGATCAATATAGGAGTCGATATTACTCAATTTAGCTATGTTCCAGTGATTGCTTTATTATGTTTTGTTATAGTATATAGTATTGGATTACAAAATATTCCACTCGTTATGATGGGTGAAATTTTCGCGACTAACGTCAAAGCCACTGCACTTGGTTTGATGGATATTTACTATGGAATTTTAGTCACCCTTACATCCAAATTCTTCCACTGGACCAATGAAGAATATGGAATGCATGTTCCATTTCTCATTTTTGCTAGTTGCTGTTTAATCGGAGTGATTTTCATAGTTCTCTGTGTGCCTGAAACCAAAGGAAAATCTCTAGAGGAGATACAAATACAACTCCGGGATGGCAAACCAGTAGCGAAAGAATTGGATATGGAACTGAGTTAGTCACTTTTGTTGTTGCACGATTTGACGCATTTGGGATATTCTATTCGACGAAAATACTCCACTTCTGCAATTTATCTATTGAGGATTCCTAGTCATTGGTTCATCTTTCATATACAATCGAGTGTCTTAATGTATGTTATGAATTTTATTGTGAATAAAAGTTTTTATTGTTATACTGATCTTTACATCCGACGTCTAACAGGGAATGATTTCCTAATATTACTGGAACTGAAACATTCGAATTCCTGAGGAATATCGATGAAACTTTTTCATTTATTATTTCATGAATCATGATCATGGTTCTGGATATGTGTTTCATTCGCAGTGTACCAGAAGAACATTTCCCAATCACCGTCTCATTGCGATTCACCTATATTTCTAATTCTTTTTCATTTCATGCTGAAATAATGAAGAAGTTCGTGTTGGCCCATACACTGCATACTAGAACTGAAGAAGACCCAAGTCCACATCACAAGACATTTCATGGACGATGATATTGATGAATCTCTTCATCTTATTATTCGTTGTATGTCAGGCAAAAAAATGATGAAATATCAAACATTATCTAGTGTAAACGTTCCTTCTCTAACCAGTATAGACATGGATGATGAGTGTATTGTTAAATTAGCAAGGTTTTTATAATTCTCACCATTCGTTGATGATGTTCGATAGAATATCTCTAGAGTTTAGTTATAGTAGGAGAATCATAATAGTATTTCTTGAACAATTCCATAACTAGATACCTATCGTTCATCAAATAATAGGTAACCAGAGTATTTCGAGGGTACACTAACTAGATCTACCAATAATATTGAACTTCATGGTCTACTGTAATTTGAACTTTATCAATGAAAACGAAGTTTTTGCTTTCACAACTAGCTGTACCTTTCTAAGAAAAAAACATTCATTGACCTGAGTTTGTTATCGTTCCAGTTGTAGTTCCGAGATATAGTAGTATATTTCACTGAGAATAGACGAAACGATAACTGGACTTCAGCTAACTGAGGAGGGTTCGATACTCGTTATTGAATCATTCTAGTAAATGCATATAACCTTTTCGTGAGATATGTATATGCGACTAACCGACACGAATGATTTCTGAGAGCTCCAGGCATATCAAGAGTAAATTTTTGCAAGTTCAGTTCTATTATACATTCTCCTTCCCAATACTGAATATAGTGTTGAGTTTGCCTGCACGAAATACAAATCTCTCTTTCTTTGGTATATATTCACGTGCACACAGCCCAGCAACCCTCACTTAGTATATTATGTCATATCATATTATTCATCAGATGTGAAAGAGAAACTATTTTCTCAATTTCTTCCTTATTATATCCACATCTTGAGTGTTCAACACATGGAATTTAATGTTCGACGAGGCGAATAGCCACGACAAAAGTTGTTTTCTGTTGAAAATATCAAAAAAGAATCTATATTTTTTCTCAGATAGAGAATGCGAATATATTTCTCCATATGCATCCATTTTCTTCATGATCATGATATCTGAGAATTCATTTTTGTTGATCCATCGATATCCAATCAAGAGGTTTAAACTGGAAGGATCGAAATGAGTTTTAACTTGAATCACAGATGCGTTATTGGATTTTCTCAAGTAAGATTTTTCTTCACGCCCTGTATGATGAGCACGCCCTTTAACAATGCTTATATAGTGCCATCGAGTGTTCCTAGTACGAGAAACGCATCCTGACTGCAGTTCAACTGAATTTGAAAATAACTTCGCATCAATGAAAAAATGAGAATTTCCTGAAGATGAAACTACACCCCCAAAATCTCACGAGACAACTGACGTATATTTCTTTTTCTATGGAGTGGAGGAGTCGAAGGTGGGAGGAGGAGAAGTAGGATCTGAAAAAGACCGCGTAGACTTGTATCGAAATTTTGAAGAGGGGAAGTGATGAATACTTAGTCAATTTACGAAATATTATCATCAGGCATGTACTCCAGGAGAGAACGTTCTTGTTCGTTAATATTGAATAATTATTATAAATAACACCAATATGCTCAACAATCATATCTCAGACCCCTATTTTCTAAAACCTAACCTAACCTCACCTGGGGAGGGGAAGTGATGAATACTTAGTCAATTTACGAAATATTATCATCAGGCATGTACTCCAGGAGTGAACGTTCTTGTTCGTTAATATTAAATAATTATTATAAATAACACCAATATGCTCAACAATCATATCTCAGGCCCCTATTTTCTAAAACCTAACCCAACCTAACCTAACCTCACCTGGGGAGGAGGAGTGATGAATACTTAGTCAATTTACGAAATATTATCATCAGGCATGTACTCCAGGAGTGAACGTTCTTGTTCGTTAATATTGAATAATTATAAATAACACCAATATGCTCAACGATCATATCTCAGGCCCCTATTTTCTAAAACCTAACCCAACCTAACCTAACCTCACCTGGGGAGGGAAAGTGATGAATACTTAGTCAATTTACGAAATATCATCATCAGGCATGTACTTCAGGAGTGAACGTTCTTGTTCGTTAATATTGAATAATTATAAATAACACCAATCTGCTCAACAATCATATCTCAGGCCCCTATTTTCTAAAACCTAACCCAACCTTACCTAACCTCACCTGGCAAAAGTGTATAATATCAGTGTTTTGTGACCAGATAGGTTGTTTCATGTCTCTTATTAGTCACAAAATGGAGAATGTCAAATTGATGAGATTATAATTTTCATTCAGGACATCCGAACTATCGGGAGACTATAATTTTTGAATGTTATGCTGGATATAACATACTCTTTCAATCACAGATGATTCAAGGATCAAAAAATATTCGCGGCTCCGCAAAACAATCGAATTTCAAGATATTCAGTTCATCAACGACCGTTAGAAAATGAACGATATAAAAACTATTCAATGCATGAATAACGGATGCCTCAGTGAAATAATCTGCTGGTCGAGGAAAAATTATACAACATTGGACTGAATGTATCCGTATATTTGTACCGTTGCTTATTGCAAGAGCAAGTTTTTCAAATCCATGAATGGATCATCAAGATGATACCGATATGATATTCGAAGTCGAGGTATTTTTGATGTAAAACATGATTCCACTGGAGATGGCGATATCATTTCCTGAAATAAATTTCCCTATACAAGGTTCGAGGCTTGCCTATTTTTCTGATCACGACATTCTTCATCCTCCCGATGAAATCCAGACAACTATTCAAATCAAATATGGAAAAACCATACTTTTGAACCCCATATGATATCATATGATAAATTCCAAATTATGGAACTAATAGTAGATTATACCACGAGTCAATAATGATAGCTATTATTCTCGAGGATTTTTTACGAACCGAGCCGCGTTAGCGGCGAGGGAGTAACATTCCGAGAGAATAATAGCCATTATTGCGAGTAGTATACTCTACTTTATTTGCGACTAATATATATACTCGTGGTTTTTGAAGTATAATGCCATATATTAATCCCGCAGGGAATAATGGCGAGGGATTAATAGTCTTTATTCCCTGCGGGATTAATATATGGCATTATACTTCAAAAACCACAAGTATAATATATTAGTCGTGAATAAAGACTCATTATTCATGACCACAGTCACAGGCTATTGGGATTCGACTTATTTGAGGATCCCAAGAAAACCGAGTTCATTTTACAAACGCATGGGCGTTTGGATTGCTCAGAGTATCACGTCATTTCGAATGTGGGATTCTGTTACTAGGAAATGAAGACTCACAACCCACAACACTCCCGCAATCCACAGGGCCCGCATGACCCGCACGGTCCGCGGAACCCGCACGACCCGCGGAACCCTCACGGTCAGCGAAAACCGCACGGTCCGCGGAACCCACACGTCCGCGGGACCCGCACGGTCCGCCGAGCTCATTTTTATGAATCGGCCTGCCCCGCACTTCTTATGAATCGGCCCGTTTCGCCCCGCACGCTACATTCTTCAGGCCCGTGGCGGCCCGACCTGCGGTGCGGATCGGGTCGGGCCGAAGCCCGCGCGGGTTGGCCCGGCCCGTGCAGAGCTCTAGCTGCCGGCTTAGGAAATTGTTCGAAATGAACTCTCAGCTGAGTCTTTCTTGATTTTTCACCAAGGCACTAAAAGAAACGAAAGCCATTGGGACACTTGATGAGTATTGATTTTATTTTGGCATCGTATGATCGTTTCATTTCAACCAACGAGAATTCAAAACTTGTAGAATATATGGCCAGAGATTGACTCAACCTAACAAAATTCATGGAAATTTCAATGAGAATTCTGAATAGAGAATAATGATTACAGGCTGTAGAATGTTAGTCTCACAAATTATTTCTATGTAGGTATCAATTTATTTATCGATGTATCATTATGCCTTCATACAATATCATGAATTTCAGAATGTCGTAACCAACCACGTCAAAGACGCGAGTACAATGCATAACCATCGTGTCGTTCAGACTAATTGAACTTTAACATCATTGAAGTTTTTCTGATGACGAAAATTACTGAATATTTCCGAAAGCTAAGATCAACCTTTGCGGACAGATTCAATTTTCATATATTGATTTGTAGCATTCAGCATGATGTGCTATTTGCACTTTTGTATATTTTTTATATTGAAATAAACTCTTTCACGTTTATTTATTCGCATTTTGTTCGTTTACTCGAACGTTCCAACACACTTTATATTTCTCATGCTTCAGTGAAATATGACATCATATTTCATTCAGAGTTGCCAACTTGTCACTCATTAGGAGATATGATATTACTGAGATGTTCATGATTACCAACCTCAAAACGAAATCAGAACTTTTATATCTAATACAACCCCCTTGAAAGGATTCATTTTGTAAGCTCACTCAACGATTCGAAGATTTGATAATTAAGCATTGATATCTATTATTGAGGCAAAAGTTGAGATATGAAGAATATCAAATCACATTCTTGATAGTTCTTGCTTTACAATGCCATCAGCTGGTCACGGAACTGTTTGAACTTC